GCCCGGCGGATCACGTGCGGCCGCAGGCCCTGGCGCGCGGCCCACGGGAGGAAGAGCGCGGTCATGGGGAGGAAGAGCGCGGTGGCGGGCGCCCGGGGGCCGCCGCAGCCCGGGCCGGGTGCCGGGGGAGGCCGTGGCGCACGCGGCGCCGCTCACCTGCCCGCGCTCAGCGCCGGCGCGCGGCTCGATCATGTAGGTGTCCCAGCCATCGGAGAAGACGCCGCTGCGGGCGAAGCCGGGATGGGTGAGCGGTGGCCGGCGCTGAGCGCGGGTCGGGACGGCGCTGCCGTCCCCACGCACCGCCGTCCCCACGCGCCGCCGTCCCCGCCGCTCTACTCACTGCAGGCCCTGGCAGCTGGAGAGCGCCGCGAAGGAGCGGGGCCGCCCGCGCAGCCGGCCCTGGTAGTAGCAGTGCTCGCCTGTGCCCTGCGGAGAGCCAGGGGCCGCTGCGGCCGGACGCCCGCGCCGCCCCGGCCCCCCCGCCCGGCATTACTGCTGCTCCAGTTAAGGGCGGCCGCGGCGCCCACGGGCCGGGGCCGCCGCCAGCCGCCGGCCACGGAGCTATTTCTGGAAGGCCCCATTCATCTTTTTCACGCCGCCGCCGCCGCCCGGGCCCCCCCGCCTCCCCGGGGACACGGGTGACCAGCCGAGCCCTGACGCAGCTCGGCCCGCACGCTGCCGGTTCCCAGCGCGGAGGAGCCGGGGGCGGCTCAGAGCCGCATGGCGAGAGCGCCGGGGCCTTGGCACCCCGGCCATGGGGCCATTCAGGTGTCCTGGTGCCAGCGCCCCGGGACGGGCTGCGGGTCCCCCTTACCGGGCTGTGGCTGCCGTTGCCGCCCGCGCCGAGGTGCCGCTCCACGTAGCGCGAGGCCAGGAGGTGGCTGCGGGGAGCGGCGGGGCCTGAGCGCCGCCCTGCCCCGCGCCGCCCGTGTCACCCCAACATGTGTGTCACCCGGTAACAGGTGTGTCACCCTGAAACGCCCGTGTCACCCTGAAATGCCCCTGTCGCCCAGTAATGTGTCACCCTGAAACGCATGTCACCCCAAAATGCATCACCCAAAAACATGTCACCCAATAACATATGTGTCACCCCGAAACACATGTATCACCCCAAAATATGTGTCACCCAGGAACATATGTGTCACCCTGAAATGCCCGTCACCCTGAAACACCTGTGTCACCCAGTAACGTGTGTGTCACCCTGAAACACGTGTCACCCTGAAACGCGTGTCACCACAAAACATGTCACCCAATAACGTATGTGTCACCCCAAAACACGTGTCACCCCAAAATGTGTGTCACACAGTAACGTGTGTGTCACCCAGAAATGTCACCCGATAATATGTGTCACCCAGTAATGTGTGTTACATTAAAACACGTGTCACCCCAAAATGTGTGTCGCCCCAAAATATATGTGACCCAATAACGCACGTATCACCCAATAACGAGTGCGTTGCCCCAAAATGCACCTGTCGCTCAATACCGCGTGTGTCACCCCAGCACAGCCTCCCGCCGCGCGGCGGCCCAGGGCCCCTTTCCCGTTTCCCGGGGCCTGGACGGGGCCACTCACTGGTTGAGCCGCAGGTCGAGGGTGAAGGCGTTGCCGAAGGCGCGCACCACGAAGCTCACGCGCGCCAGGTGCGCCGCCTGCAGCCAAGGCAGCCCTGAGCGCCCGGCCGCGCGCCCAGGGCCACGGGCCGGTTCTGCGCCCCCCGCTCGGCCCCCGCCCGCCTGCCCGGCCCCGGGAGCGGCCGCCGGCCCCGGTGTCACCGTGATGGGGCCGGCACCGGCCCTGCCCTGAGCCGCCAAAAACGCCCTTGGGCAGAGTCGGAATTTGCTGCGGCTGCTTTGGCATTCCGCTTGGGAAAGGAAAATGAATTCAACTTAGAATCCCTGCACCCCAGGTGTAGATACCTGCAGGCTCTGGAGGTGCTTTTGCTTTAAAAAAAAAAAATCTCAGTTGGAAAGAAATCACTACTTTTTGGCCCCGAAGTGCTGCAGCGCAAGCCAGGAGCACCACAGGAATCACCCGCTCCAAGCGTCCTGGCGCTCCCTGGGGATGCACGACACCCATGGGAGCCGCGTGGGCTCCGCAGGGCCGCGGCAGCCGGGGACACCCCCGCGCGGAGCTCCCTTGGGGGTCGGCGGGGCCGCCCGGCAGCGGGGCCGGCAGCTCCGCGCTCCCTGTGGCCGCCGGGCTCCTGCTCTTACCCACCCCCTGGCCATTTACCCCCGGCCGCAGCCTCCTCGCGGTTACCCGGGTTTTTACTTAGTGCCGGGCTTAAATCACCTCGGCTGCAATTTAAGGCCATTAATTCTCCTTGGAGGCGGCGCGGACGCGGGGGGATCGATGGGCGCCGGGGCCGCTGCAGCCGCCACCTCTTGGAGAGCTGCCCCGCAGGGGACAGGGGCCCCCCACCCCATCCCAGCCCATCCCATCCCATCCTGGGGCCGCACGGATGGGAGAGCCCCCCCAAACCGGCAGAGCCGGAGCACCGGCACCCGCATGCGCGGCCCCCACGGGGGCACCGGGAGCCAAATGGTCCCCGGGAATGGGGCCTCCGGCGCACTCGGAGCACCGGGCACCCGGCCGGGGGTCCTGCTGCCCCGGGGGCCGCGGCCTGCAAGAGAGTGGAGGGGAGGGGGGGACGGACGCCGTTCACTTACAGGGCCGCCTCCTCCTCCTCCTCCTCTAGGCTCATTCCTGACCCTGGTGTCCAGCTGATGCTTCTGGACTTCTCCTCCTGAGCTCTGCCCCACTAACCTGCTGGGGTGGGTGATTTGGGACACGAGGCGCCCGTCCTGCCATCCGGCCCGCGGGAACCTCCGCTGCAGAGCACCGGCGTGCGCGGCCACCGCCGCGGGACCTGCAGCGAGCCCGGAGCGGAGCGCTGGGGACAAGGAGGGCCGGGACTGGGCCTGTCCCGGAGGGGACGGCCCAGGGGACACGGTGGGGACCCAGGCGTGGGGACACAGTGCACAGGAGATGGCTGGGGGGACATGGTGGGGACCCAGGTGTGATGCAGCTGGGAAGGGATGGACATGGAGGGCTGGCATGGGGGCCTCCCATGGGGGAGACAGCCCCGGGACATGACAGGGACCCAGGTTTGGTGGCATGGGCTGGAGGGGATGGGCAGGGACATGACGAGGACCAGGTATGTGGTGGGGTCAGGACAGGATGGTTCAGGGATGTGGGTGGCTGATACAGGGCCAGTCCTGGAGGGGACATCTGGGAACTTCTGCATCGTGGCATCACCTGGAGGAGATGACCAGGACATCATGGGGACCCGGGTGTGACAGCAGAGCCCAAAGCGGACGGCCGGGGCACATGGAGGGCTGGTGGGGAGGGTACGGAACCATCCACGTGGGTGGATGAGAGACAAGGGGGGATCCAGGTATTGCAGCACAGCCGGGGGGCACATGGAACACGGTTTGGTGGCACTTCCCTAGGGGATGGCCAGGGCACAGCTGGGGACCCAGGTACAGGGGCATGTCCTGGAGAGGGTGGCCAGGGGACCTGGAGGGAGGTGCAGGGACACGGGGGGACCTGGTGCAGTGTTGTGCCCCAGGAAGGACATCTGAGGACCAGGGAGGGCAGGAGGGGACACCCAGACACTCTGGAGGGGACACCCAGGGGACACAGCTGGCTCGTACGGGGACACCTGCCAAAAGGGACACCCAGAGGCCTTGGAGGGCCTCAGATACAGCACTGCATCCCACAAGGGACACCTGGGGACACGGGGGACCCAGGGACAGCAGCACATCATGGAGGAACACCCAGGGAACCGGTATGGGACTGTGTCCTGGAGGGGACGCCCAGGTGCGTGTCCCCTGGAGGACACCCACAGCTGCAGTGCCGTGTCCCAGAGCGGGGACGGGGAGGGGACTGCTGGGGGGGACACGTCCTGGAGGGGACACCCGGGGCTGGCGGAGGGCTGCCATGGGGACGTGTCCGGGAGGAGGACACCCAGGTGGCATCGGGGGAGCCGGGTGTCACCCAGGGGCGGCCGCGGGGACCCAACCGGGGCGCTGCCCCCGCTCCCCGCGGCACCGGGGCCGCCCGCAGCGGGGCCGGGGGGGCGCGGGGGCCGCGGGGGCGGCGCTGCCGCCCGGGCCGCTGCGGGCGGCGCTGCAGAAAAATGTGTCGATGCAGCAAAAAAACCCGCAGCGGCGGCGCCGGTAACCGGCGCGGCGGGGGGACACGGCGACACGGGACCTACCTGCCCGAGGCGTGAGCGAGAGGAGAGCGGCGAGCAGCCAGCTCTGCAGCGGCCTCATGGCTCCCTCATAATCCTACCGCTGGCCGGGGCGACCGGGGGCTGCGGGCACCGGGCGCCACCGGGCCCCGCGCTGCCCTCTCGCTGCTGCTGCTGCTTCCTCCTCCTCCTCCTCCTCCTCCTCCTGGGCCGCCGCGGGCCGGGCATGGGCGGCGGCGGGGCCGGGGCTGCC